TTTTAATTCACATTAAAAGGTCTGCTTAATTCTGCAGGCCTGGGCATATTGTACAATGTTGTTGTTGATAAGTGCTGTCGAGTTGGTTCCGACCCATAGCGATCCTAAACAGGGTTTCCGAGGCTGTAAATCTTTACGGGAGCAGAATGGCTCATCGTTCTCCCGCAGAACAGCTGGTAGTTTCGAACTGCTGACCTTGTGGTTCGTAGCCCGATTTGTAACCACTACGCTACCAGAGCTCCTATATTTTACAATGTTGTTGTTGTTAGGTGCCATCAAGTCGGCATATTTTACAATAGGGATCACTTAATGGTCCCAGTGGATCATTACACCATTTTGATTATGATACGCTGAAGAGAAACTCATCCATACTTGGTGACGGAACTAAACTCCATGGGAGCTGTGATGGACGGAATCTTTTCATGGTATTCCCACATCTCACTAAATAAGAAAAGACTCTAAACAAGGAAATATAACAATCAATCTGTCCAGATATTATATCTAAAATCTCTTTCTTTATTATATAGTAGAAAAGAGGGCCTTTTCTTGAGTACACAAATACAAGTATTATTACAATCTAGAGACTGCTGAATTGACATTTTTTTCTGGTAGAATGAAGGTACACATTGAGACAACTCGGTTATGGAACTTCAAATTAAGGAACGTCCACAACTTGTCTCAATTCTTTAAATAATGGAGCAAGTTCCTTTTCTAGGCTGACAATTAGTCCTGTATTGGCATTGCTGCTGGCTATGAAACTTATCACCAAAGGTAACCTATAAAATTGAACCACCTGTTAAGTGTTATTTATAGGAACAGATAATACTTCTGTTTTTTGAGAGTCCAAGTTTGCTGCCTTGGTCTGTTGCAAGGGCCAAAGTAGATAGGAAGCCAGGTCTCAAAGCAAGCTCTGGAGCGTTATCATTGGCCACTTAAATAACAGGCACTCCATCTCTATCAGACATGACAATAGCATGGAGTCCTTCAACACTTGGCCATTTTTTTATACAAGAATCTCTTTAGGTCATCCGCCATGATGAACTCCTTCCTCTCGCAGGTTTAATCTCCACCCCGAGGTTTTTGCTCCTGGGGATGCCTGAGTTCTCGCTGCTGTCACTTCAGGGGCAGCCTCAGAGGCATGTTCCTCTGCAAGCGGCCATCATATAATTTTTGACCTCTTCCTGCAAGTTTAGTTTGTAATACAAGGTCGGCAGTTCAAACTCACCAGCCAATCCTCTGAAACCCTATACAGGGTCACTATGAGACAGAAACAACTTGACGGTACTTAACAACAACAACATTGTTAAGTTGCCATTGAATGGATTCTAATTCTTGGTGTCCATATATGTCTCAGTGTAGAACTGTGGTCCATAGTGTTTTTAGGGTTTTTTCCTTTTGGAAGCAGATTTATAGGTCTATCTTCAGATATGCTTCTTGTCAGTAGTCAAGCGTTAACTGTTTGAGCCACCCAAGGACTCCTCCATAGGAAGTAGACAGACAATGAAAAATTTAAGCAATCAATATTCTGTTGGATGGTGGTGTTTTATATAGAAATAAAGCAAAAAGGGGTGGCATGGTATGCCTAACATGAGGGCTGCGATTTTAAGTGAAGAACCAGGGAAAGTCCAATTTCTTTATGCGTTCTAGATGCCCATCCTTTATGGGCTATATGTATTGTAATTATCTGCCATTTTGGTTCATCTTTACATTCTTTCTTAAGTATAAAACATAATCTGTATTATGGGTTGAATTGTTTCCCAAAAAAATATGTGTTGTAAATTCTGTCATAGTGGCTACAAGGAACCCTGGAGTTGCAGTGGTTAAGCACTCAGTTGCTACCTGCAAGGTCAGTGGTTTGAAACCATCAGCCACTCCCCAGGAGAAAGATATGGAAGTCTGCTCCCATAAAGATTACAGCCTTGGAAAACCCATGGACAGTTCTACTCTGCCTTCGAAGGTTCATTTGGAGTTGGAAACCAACTTGATGCAACAGATATTGGTTATGGTGGTTAATAATTCCATTTGGTAATGGGTTTTCATTGTTATGTTAATGCACCAATATTAGTATAGGGTGAGGTAGAAAAGGACCAGATTAGCCAACAGATACGGGAAGGAACACAGATGCCATGCCACATAAATATCATTGAGAAGCGAAGGAATAGAAGCTGAAAAAACAAGGACCTTTCCCCAGAGCAGAGAGAGTGAGAAAGTCTTTCCCTAGAAAACAGTGCCCTGAATTTGGACTTCTAGCCTCCTAAACTTTGAGAAAATAAATTTATGTTTGTAAAAGCCCCCAACATTGGTACTTCTATTGTAGAAGCACTAGATAATTAAGATGACATGCACAAAAGCTTTCTGTGCAACTTAATGGTATAGAAAGAACAATAAAGGAACTATATAGTCAAAGAGACAATCTGTTAACATTACCTCATTAACATAACAATGACAGTATAGTTTATATGTTCCAATTTAAACTAGTTAACTGGGACCTCCTAAAAATTAAATGCTTACACTCATCAAAAGATTTCACCAAGAGTAAAAAGATGAGGAAAAATAAAATTGGCAACAACATATCAAATAAGGGTCGAATTTCTAACTTTAACATCTGAAAAATAAAAATTCAAATAACCCACCATGCATTAGAACCAATGAGGCACCAAACAACACAAAATTCCCCCTTGCTTGGTCACACGCCTTTATGCTGAGAGTTTACCACTCTCCTAACATTTATGTAATCATTTATTTGTTTTTCTTTATAATTTCACCACTAATGTGTGAATTCCTAAAAACGGAGTTAAGTTTTGCCTGTTTTTGATCTTCACATAAATGTTAGCATATATATGCATTTATATATTTTTTTATTTAATAATATGTTTGTATTCATTACATAAGATTTTCTGTAGCTGTATAATTCTCCATTAAAATATATAAGTTTTTCTACCTTACACATTTAGTCCAATTTTTGGCAATATAGATTATATTGCAATAAATATTCTTTTATTATACCTAGAAAACACAATCATGCTTTTTTGTGTGAGTGTATATACAGTTAGGAAAG